GGGGAAAGGATCTCAACCAAGGGAAAAGATCTTGGGGAGGACAAGGGAGAAGATCTCAGGGGGGGAAAGGCCTTAGGGGGGAAAGGGCGGGAAAGGATCTCAACAAGGAAAGGGGGGAAAAGATCTTAGGAAGGAAAAGGGGGAAGATCGCGGGGGGAAAAAAGGCCTTAGGGGGGAAAGGAGGGAAAGGATCTCACAGGGAGAGGGGGGAAAACATCGTAGGGAGGAAAAGGGAAAAACTCAGAGGGAGAAAGGGCCTTAGGGGGGAAAGGGGGAATGGATCTCAACAGGGAAAGGTGGCAAAAGATCTTAGGGAGGAAAAGGGAGAAGATCTCAGGGGGGGAAAGGCCTTAGGGGGGAAAGGGGGGAAAGGATCTGAGCAGGGAAAGGGGGGGAAAGATCTTAGGGAGGAAAGGGAGAAGATCTGGGGGCAAAGGCCTTAGGGGGGAAAGGGGAGAAATGATCTCAACAGGGAAAGGGGTGGAAAAGATCTTAGGGAGGAAAGGGAGAAGATCTGGGGGAAAAAAGGCCAACAGGGAAAGGGGGGAAAGATCTAAGGAAGGAAAAGGGAGAAGCTCTCAGGGGGGGGGAAAGGCCTGAGGGGGGAAAGGGTGGGAAGGATCTCAACAGGGAAAGGGGGGAAACAATCTTAGGAAGGAAAAGGGAGAAGATCTGGAAAGGCCTTAAAGGGAAGGGGGGAAAGGATCTCAACAGGGAAAGGGGGCAAAGGATCTTAAGGAGGAATAGGGAGAAGATCTCAGCGGGGGGAAAGGCCGTAGGGGGGAAAGGGGGGAAAGGATGTCAACAGGGAAAGGGGGGAAAGATCTCAGGGAGGAAAGGGAAAAGATCCCAGGGAGGAAAAGGCCGTAGGGGGGAAAGTGGGGGAAAGGGAGGAAAAGGGAGAAGATCTCAGGGAGGAAAAGGCCTTAGGGGGGAAAGGGGGGAAAGGATCTCAACAGGGAGAGGGGGGAAAACATCTTAGGGAGGAAAAGGGAAAAAATCAGAGGGAGAAAAGGCCTTAGGGCGGAAAGGGGGAATGGATCTCAACAAAGAAAGGGGGGCAAAAATCTCAGAGGGGAAGGGGGCAAGGGGACAATTCCAAAGGGACGCAAGTAAGAAAGCAGGCCTGTAATGTCGGCGGCCTGAGCCGGAGGCGTTAAAATCTATATAGACCTTCAAGTCTTGCTTTTACGAATTTGAATCAAGAGAACACAAAAAGAATGTCTATGAATGTCTCTTCGCTGGTTTGGGGCCCCCTGCCTGAGGTGCTTCCACAAAGGCTTGAGGATCCGCCACGGTGAGCTCGAAGGAGCCCGAGAATCCCCCAAGGCTGGAAGAGCTGGTGGAGGGCCCGGAGCTCGTGGAGGTCGTGGAGCTCGGCACCTTCACTGGCTGCTTGTTTCTGCCATCCACTAATTTCTGACTTCGCAAACTCTTGACACTCGGATGGGGGTTTGGCCTTCACCACGATGGGCAAGCTTTCGAAGAGTTTCTGGGGCACCTTCAGCCGCCTCTCGCTCAGCCGGCGGCCGGCGATGGAGTCGATGGTCGCCAAGACGTGCAGGAAGCAGGCATCGCAGACCTGGCACTGATCACGCGGGTGATCACCATGATCAGCATATATCAGCATGATCTCTTTATCCTTGCTCATGTCCCCTTGCCTCCAGCTGCACACTGAAGCGCCGGCTCGACGGCGAAGCCGCAAGGTAGATCATGGAATCCGTGAGGTTGTGGACCTTAGAAGCGTTTCGCGCGTGTCGCTCCTGGCCGCAAAAATCCCAAGCTGCTGTGAGGTCTGAGGTGGTGACTATCGGCGCTGAGGCATCGCTGGATGCCGCGAGCCACACCAGGTCCACGTTCGCAACCACGGACACTGGGCCCAGCCCAAGCTCCACGAAGGCCCGCTCCCAGACAAAGTAGACGGCCTGCTGCTTAGGGGCAGTGAAGTCGGACTCGTACAAGGCCAGCGTAGTGTTCAGGGCTCCGGCGTAGATCACCTCCTCCTCCGCCACCACCTCCCGGTGGCCCGCCGCTTCGAGGGAGGAGAAGGCGTGCATGAGGCGGTCGAAGCGGAAGGTCACTGGGAAGATCCACAAGGCGACCGGTTTGTCATAGAAGTCCCCCAGAAGGGCCAGCGTGGCCACTCCACTCCAAGCCACGTAGTCTGCCGTGGTCGAAACGTTCAACTTGCAGTCGTCGAGCTCGGCGACGCTCAGCTCCAGAACGAATCGACCTTGCCCGGTCTGGTTCCAAGCCTTGCAATCCGTTTGGTCCTCATCCGAACCAAGACGAGCGCGAAAGCCCAGCGAGATGTTCTCCGCGACTGTCGGGAGATCTGCCTCGAAGCTCAGTCGAAGCATGGAGTTCTCCTGAAGGGAAGTCTGGAAGCTGGGGCTGGGAAGCCGTGGCAGAGCGTGGGCCAGGCTTGGGAGGCAGCCGACGGCCACAGACTTGTAACCGCTGGGGCAAGCCTTGAGTGTCACCGGGATGACCCACTCTGCGAGCGTCTCGGATTCGGATCCCAGCAGGTACACGGCCAGGAAGGCATCTCGAACCAGAACGTTGGTATCACGCGGCGCCGGCGTGGTTGTCGTGTGTGTGGCATTCTTGACATAGGTGTACTCGCCGGATGAATATTCCCAGCTGTTGCAATCCTCTGCGGTGAAGTTGAAGCGTGTACATGTTCCAACGGTCACGGAGAAGAACTGGCAGTCCGGCTCAGAGGAGCACCTGGCAATGCACTCCTCAAGGTTGACCGGATATTCAAGTAGATCCATCCACCCGTCAGCATAGCAGTGCTGGGGCCCGAGGGGCTCGTAGTTGCTGGGCAGAATCTTGGCCTTCTTAGCATATGCAACTTCGTAATCCCACGGGCCACACCTCGCCTTCCAATCGCCATAAAAACCATAATGTCGTGCACAGTCGGAGGGCCAGGATAGTTCACACCACGACCCGGCCTTGACAAAGTTCTGGCAGTCAGGCTCTGACGAGCATTTGGCCGCGCACTCCTCAAGATCCCCAAGATTGTATCTTGTCCAATACGCTGTGAGACAGCAGTCATTGTCAATCAGCTCATAGTCTGCGAGGACACCGCCGCTGACATCGGTCGCGTTCGTGGAATTCGTGGAATTGAGACAGGCCTGCAGCTCCTGGAAAGGCGCAAAGGCCTGATAGGTCGTGGAAAGATTTGTTTCGGACTCGGACTCAGCCCAGCCAAGGCATGGGCCAACTTGGAACTCCTTCGAGGCACTGAGTTGGAAGTTCCAGGTCAGGTTCGCCGAGACCTGGGGGACCTGAAGCTTCAGGCGGACCTCTTCATCCAAGAAGGAGATTTCGAGGCTGGGGGTGGAGAGGTTGGCCAAGACCTCCGAAGGCTCCGAAGGCTCCGAAGCTTGGCAAAGGTTACAGCCCCCGGGGCTCTCAAAGCCATCGGGGCACTGCAGGCAGTGACCGGCCTGCCAGGCATAGCCCGGAGGGCACCCGGTTGGCCAGTTCAGCTTGTGGGTGCTGGTGCCGATGGTCACAATCAGCCCCACGCCACAGAGGACCGCCGCCTGGGAGTGCGACCCAGCGCCGGGCTTCGACCCAGCGGGCTCCAGGTTCTGCCAGACTCCGGTGTTCCCGTTGATGGCCATGTGCCAAACGTCGTTGTAGGCTGTCTGCTTCAGCGCATGGCCGCTTTGGTCGTTGAAGCCCCCGTAGATCAGCATGCCATCCGGGACCGCCACGGCGGAAGGGAAGGTCCTGACGCCGGGCGTCGGGCCAGAGACTGCCACCAACTGCCAGACTCCGGTTGTTCCATTGATCGTCAACCGCCAAACGTCATCGAAGAATTCGCCCCAGTCCTGGGATGGCTGTGGGTGGCAGGTGCAGGTGCGTCAATGCAGCGCTCACCAAACCCAAGAGTCGTGCTTAAGTTATTGAGACTGACTCTGTTTATCCAAGTGGCCTCGTGGCCTGCGAAGGTCAGGAAGTTGCCGTCAGCCCCCGCGACTCCCGCAGGCCCCAAACGTGGCCCCGGACCCCCGCCGGACGTTTGCACCTCCTGCCAAAAGCCCTGAGCCTCCGAAGTAAAGATCAACTTCCAGACATCCCCCAGCGGCTGGCTGCTGAAGGTGAAGCCCGCATAGATCAGGAGGCTGCCGTCAGAGAGCCTCACGGCAGTGTGGCGGTAGCGGTTGCTGGGGCTTGGGCCCGTGAGGGCCACTTGCACCCAAGTCATTGAAGCGTTGAGCCGGAAGACGCCGGCATCGTTGCTGCCCCCGAAGTAGATGAGCTCTCCAAGCGTCCGGCTGCCCGCCATGTAGGACCGGGAGCCGCTGGGACCGCTGCCTGCTGCCGCGAGGCTCTGCCAGGCCCCGGCCTCGAGGTCCAAGCGCCAGAGCTGGCTTTGCCCGCCGTAGATCACCATCTCCTCGCGGTCCGTTGGACCCAAGGTGGCTGCAGCGACTTGGCTCGTGGAGCCATGTCCTGAAGCAACCAGCTGCCAAGTCAGATTGCTGGCGAAGGCCTGACCCGTTCCGACAAGGAGCAGCATGCATAGCATTCTGCGTAGCATGCTCGGGCTCATTCGTTTTCGAGATTCTGGTAGGTCCTATCTAAACCTTAAATTCAAATCTTGCGGACCAGTCGGACAATCCGCGAGATTCACGGGTTCACATGAAGCTGCTGCCTGGGGGGGGGGCTGGGATTGCACGGCAATCACAAAGTGCTTCGACTATTCGGCCCTCTTGGGCAAGACTTGGATGGCCTGTAGCTGGACATCGCGATGCTTCAGCGGCGTTGTGCTGACAAACTCCCAACCTCATAGAAAAGATAAACAGATACTTCTCTCTTTGGTTCCAGTTGCACGCCAGTCCAGCTGCCGACTCGTGTGAAAAGTGCGAAGTGCCATTCGATCCCAAAGTTGGAATTTAGAGCTCTGAACAATACAATAGGTGTACCCAGTGTACCCACCAGCACCATGGTCGAATCAACGTCACTTTCTCTACAGCCGCCGCCTCCAACCACCGTCATCTCACCTTCTTCAAGATCGCCTCCGCGTGTCTTGTGCACTGGTGGTTTGTTTTGCTGACTAACTGAAATCTAATGGAGTGCAAAATAGTGCCCTCCCGCCCAATAACATAGCACCTGTGGGAGGGTACCTGGAAGATAATTTTCCTCTTGTAGGGATCCTCTGGCAGGTGCCATGGTAGTCGGAGTGAGGGTATACAATATGTTGCCACAAGCATCGCTGCCAATGCTTCTCGATGGAACCAATAGTTTTTCCGACCATGCTGACCCCAAAGAGCCACCTGTCGACCTTTGTATTCAACAATCGCTTCAGGCTGTTTGAAGGCCAAACAAACACAATGCGCTACGCTTTTTCCATCCGGATAGGATATCCAGCATTCCTCAATAGAATGATCTTCTCAACGGCTTAAGAGGCAACGACCGTGAAGAGCCTAGCAAACTCTTCGCGTCTGCATGTCATCCGTAATACATCCAGAGTATGTGGTCATCTTACCAGCCTTTGAAACACGACCAGCAAGCGTGCCTGGAGGTTTTGGCTTTCTGGTCAATCGCATCATGTTCCTTAGATGCTTGTCTGGACTCAAAGTTGGCCGCAAAGGACATAGAGGTCGTCACACCTTCAATGCCGTTGAGCCTCCCTCCAACGCTCACCAAAATGGCGAAGGGCAGGACCTTGGGTCATGCAGCGCTTGAAAACGGCTGTCGAGCAGATATGATGTCTACTTCGGGATCCTTCGGTGGACATCATGAGAGTTTGTGTCCACCCACGTTTGAGGTTCCTCGTTTGACAAATCATGAGGTTGATAGAGACGGCTTAAGCATGTAGACAAGCATTACCAAGAAAAAACAACCAACACCATGGCACAGGGAGTTTTGATGGCTCACAAGAAACTCCCAGATGGCATGCCGAGCTCGATGCCAGACGCAAGGCTCTACAGCTTGGCCTGGGTGGAGCGCTTGAAGTCTCCAAAATGGGTGGTGGCTCTTTCTTTCAAATTTGTCCGTCTTCTTTTGAGTTCCCTTTTTGTTAGCTTTGAAGGCAAACCAAAAGAAAACCTACCAATTTGGGACATCCCCCAAAAAAAACACGCACACACAAAAGCTTTCCTTTTGGCCTTTGAGAAACCCTCAAAAGGGGGCCACAAAAGCCAGGGCCGCAAAGAAACTAACAGGGAGGTGAAAAAATGGGCATGCCCAGATCGCGACTCAATGAGAACTACCCAGACTGCATCCCTCGCCTCGCTACAGCGTCGAAGCACAGAAGGCCTCATGCTGGAAACTGTCTGACACAAAAATCTGCCCAAGTTCACCGCGGGTATGTCAAAAACATCCAACATGGTGGTCCTTGCGTCTTCCCTTTAAACGACATGCAAAAGGGTTCTCTCACAGAACAAAGAGAAAAGCGAGACACCCACCCACAGGTTTTGGTCCAACTCACGCCACGCCAAGCTGCCGTCAAGAAAGAACAGAAGGAAGAGAAGCAGGTCCGCACCTTTTAGCTCTCACCAAACCAGGTAGAACCCCCCCAAAGATGTTCCATAGGGTGTGGGGCGCTAAACTGTCCTCGACCGGATTCTTAGGAGCGAGGCCGTGCTTCGAGAGCGCAAACTTGCAATCTCTTGAAGCTGCAATTCGAATCACCTCAGGGACGCCGGGCCAGAAGGTGCGCGACCACAAGCTGCAAACCTGTGACAAAAAAAGGAGCTCCAAAGTGAGGTGCGAGAATCCAAGCTTTTGTCTGACTCTAAGCTTCCAGCGATATCTAGAAGCGTGAAGAGAGCTGCCAGCAACGCGAGCGACTGTGCCTTGATTCGACCCTCCAGTGCCCTATCCGTTTCTTGCATCCATGAGCCAGGCTCAAAAAATGTTTCGACGGACATGAGCAAATTCAAGAGTCCTCCGGAAATGATCGAAATTTCAGCTCGTCCCCCAGACATCTCTTCCAAATTTGAAAACGACAGACTGAGCAATTCAGGCAGAACCTCACCTGGGACTCCCGCCAATTTGTCACTCAGGACATAGATGCCAGCCAGCCCGGCAACCTGTACGATGCCAAATGGGTGATTTCTTTTGAGGTACCCAGATTCACCTTGCTTTTTGAAGTTGAAGAAAAATCAAAAGGACAACCATATTAACATAGCTACATGTACAAAAATATAGAGAGATAGATATGTGGGTGTGTATATGACAGAAATGTGTTATAAAATACAAATAAACGCTATTCATGGTTTAAAGGACCCCCCCCCCACCGATTTTTGGTCAAAGCATCGGAAGATCAGCGCCTTCACAAACATCTGGCAGCCCAGGTACGGAGCCTCGGGCAAAAAATGCAAGGGTAGCATCCAAACGTTTGGTGTCCAAAACGGAAACCAACAAGAAACCATCCGTCCTGGGGTAGACTACCCACATGGAGGTGTCTATTTTCTGGCCCCTTTTTGTTGGTGGTTTTAAAAGCAAAAGGAAAGCCACCATGTTGGAAATCCTCAAAAACGACACTCCCACATTTCGATTACAGGATCGTTCCATTGATTCGCAAAGCATGCCCAAAGCATGTCCAAATCCCCGAGCGCGGCACGCCAAGATCTAAGACTGATTTCGCCAGGCTCTTCATGGCGACGCATTGGTAAAATTTCGCGTAGATCAAAGGATCGTGACATGCTCGCAGAATGTTGCCCTCTGCTTTGCTAGGGAAACTGCTTTGAAGATTTGTTTCTTGAGGACCACTCAGAATGCGCGCTTTGAGGGTATGAATTTTCAGTATGAAAATGGATGATTGTCTGAATCTCGGCGAACTGGACATGGACAGTTCAATCCCCATTCAAACTCATAGGCCAGGTTGAGTGGACGGATGATTCCGGCTGAGCCACATGTTGCGACATTGAGAGCAGGGATCGCACTGAAAAGCAGCATGGCAGGTGTCCTGTTGGAAAAAAAGGTATGGCACATGATTGATACCAGCTCAGAACCAGTGCCATGTTCAGCCAAACTGATTTGAACAGGACGCCTTACAATGCATGCATTCCGGCTTCATGTAACTTTAGCTCTTTTGTCCTGGCGGCAATCTGCCGAAGGATTCGATTCATTGTCGGAGTTGCGATTCTCAAAACTCACGATGTGGACAACTGAAATGAGATTCCGTGGCACAGGTCTTTGGCACTGCCTCAACTGATCACTGACTGCAACTGTGTCCGCTGTCCTGTGTGGTTTTACCCTGCTTGCACAGGGCAGGACTGCTTTGTACAGATGTTCTGGCAACGTCAGGTTGCTATTCCTCCACGACTCCATTTGACAGCTCCTGCATCTGAGATGCGTAGCCTTGCAAAAAACATGTCGACTTAGCATTTGTTTTCTCCAAAAACTGGGCTTTTCCTATCTTGAATCAAACCCACATCTTACCGGCAATAGCTCCGTGGCATCACCATCAAATCCCATGAATCCCACCACCCATACCCATGTTGTCCGGCCCTAAGGTAATGCTCCTCCGGCAGCTTCCGCTTGCGACCAGCAGGTGTAGACACCTGCCGAGCTTGCTTTTCTGACGAGAGAACAGCAAAGAAGCGAGAGACTTGAAGCACCAGTGCGGTATATCATCCAATTACGCGGCGATCTCTTCGGATTGAGCAACTCTTGTGTGATTGCCTGAGTAAAGTAACATCATTTGCACTCTAAATTGTGGTTTAAACCAGAAACCACCCAACAAATAATTTGGACAGCCCCTCAAAATGCAACAACTCTAAGAAACAGAGTTGCCCGCGGCCCAATCAGGAAAAACTCCATGCAAGACCAGGCGCCTCTGCCGTGGATTCATCCGCCTCTTGCACCTCTGAAGCATCCACGGGCGCGCCTTGCGAGTGACGCCGAAGCACGTCGTGAAGCGCAAAATGAAACCCTCGTCTTTGCGAAAATATAATGGCGCTGGTAAGCGAAATAACAAAACTGCCCACTGCCATGGAACCAGAACCAGGGGTCCTGGAAGAGACCCTCTGGTGGGTTTCATGTTTGTGGACAGAAGGGTAACCAAACTGACCTGAGAAGGACTACTGAATCGTGGATTCTTCAGTTGGCTTCCCTTTCAAGAAAACGGAACGCACCCAGCATCCAAAATCATCTCGTCGAAGCCTTCAGCTTCCGGAAGAGTAGCTGCTGCCGACAGTGCCGCTGCAGTAGTCGTCTCTGACGCGACTGTTCCCTGGCCAAGACGACATCGTTGTCCCACTTGTTGGATAGCTACAAACCAAAAACCCAAGCTGGATCCAACCTCCACTAGAATTTTGAGGACTAACAGGGGTCCTTCACTTTTGGGAACATCTCTCACTTACTTGCACTTGCTTGCACATCAACTTCTGTCCCAATGTCCATTCCCTGCAAATGACAAATGCTCCAAATGACTGGGGTGGTTTTTTGGCATCACCGAACCCCCAACCCCGGTTCACGGCGATCGGTTCACACCTGCACGCCGGTCTCAATGAGAGCACCTGAGCCATCGAACCGCAAGTAAAAAGTGGAACCCTCAAAGGGCCACTTGGATGTGGTTCCTTTCTTGAGGGTATCCTTTTTCGGCTTGGTTAAAAGGAGAACCAAAAGGAAACCCACCATTTCGGGAGTCCCCCTAAAAAAGACAAGCACCCACACACACACACACACACGGACACACAGACACAGACACACAGACACTCAGACACACAGACACACAGACAGACAAACACACATTCACACAACGCACACACAACGACACACAGACACACAAACTCACACACAAACACAAACAAACAAACAAACAAACAAACAAACAAACAAACAAACAAACAAACAAACAAACAAACAAACACACAAAAAAACAAACAAACAAACAAACAAACAAACAAACAAACAAACAAACAAACAAACACACAAACAAACAAACAAACAAACCAACACACACACACACATACAAACAAACAAACAAACAAACAAAAAACAAACAAACAAACAAACAAACAAACAAACAAACAAACAAACAAACAAACACACAAAACACACAAAACAAACAAACAACCACACAAACACACAAACACACAAACACACAAAACACACAAAACACACAAAACAAACAAACAAACAAACAAACAAACAAACAAACAAACAAACAAACAAACAAGCCAACAAACACAAACACACAAACACACAAAACACACAAAACAAACAAACAAACAAACAAACAAACAAACACACACACACACACACACACACTTCCCGTATTGTGTGGTCATTTGGAGAGGCGCTGGACGTACTTTTTCTTCAAACGAGGACAGAAAAAGCCCATGGGACACAATTTGACACCGTGATTCCCTGCCTCTAGGCTGGAAAGCCGAACGAGGGGCCAGTGCCTCAGTCATTGAGTGCCGCATTTGTATGGCGCTCATTGTGACAACTCTGTGACGGGTGTCTACCCACTTTTGACCATGGCAGGTATGGCAATTGCTTCCAAGTTGCCTCCTCCGTGGTTGTTATCAGAATGGCACGCTGAAGTGCATACATGTACTTCCTCGCGGTCAAGGTCGGCGCAAGCACCCACAGTTGGGATTCATCACCGTACGAACGCTTGAAAGGCTCGTGGACACCCAACAGATTGGAGGCTTCCTTTAAGTGTCCATTTCGAACCCCAGAAAAGAGGTTCTAGAACTCTCCCGCAAAAACTCGGAGAACCACACCATGTGCGAACCCTGCAAGTCCTTGTGGATTTGTAGCCACTTCGAGGCTCGGCCAAGAGCTCGCAAAGGCGCTGAGTGGTCCAAGGAGCACCTGGCGTACATGCAAATTACTTGGCCTGGTGCTGGGGTTGTCTTTGTTGAGGGTACTGTCAGCTTGGTTTTCTCAAAAAACGAAAGGGACAATCACTTCCTGAGTTGATTGACCGGAAACAAATCCTGAAACGATCTTCCCAACAAGTTGCAGTTTGAAGTCCAGGAGCCCAGGTGAGGAAAGCCATGTTGGGGCTGCTTCCGCCTTTTGACCCGCGAGGTCCTGAGGCCCTGCCTTCTCGTCTAGGCTCCAACAGCGAGCGCTTCAGCGGCTCTACTGCAGCATCGAAGGTCTCACCTGGCTGGTGGCAATCGAAACCCATCGGATTTGCTCCATGATCCATCCAAAATGCTTCAAGAGCTAAGAACGCGGATATCCGCACCAATTTATGGCAAGGGGACTGTACCTAACCTTCGCTTGTGACCTTCCCGCCAAAGATCCACAAGCAAAACCAAGGCTCATAGAGGACTCAGGCATGGCCTGGAAATTTTGGAATCGGAACCCGAGGTGCGTCGGTTTCCAAAGCCTTTTCCCTTTAAGCCCCCAAAAGCAGGGGCTGCCTCCAAACAACGGCACGCCCATCTCTTTGCAGGTCGTTGCGGTGGAAACGGCAGAAACCAGGCCTTCACGCAGCTTCAGATCTGGTGCTTCGTGCCAGAAATCTGCCAGAACCTTCTCCAGCTTTGTCACCTCCGTGCAGAAACAGAGATGATCGCTTGGTTTTGAAGGGACCAGGAAACCAACCGTTCTTTGAGGCCCCTCATTTTGAGGCCTGAAAGAGACTGGAAGACCTATTATTTTCTCCCAAGGGGCCCCTCTTCTTCCATGACTTTTGAGAGGGTACCAACAGTATTGTCAGTGACGCTCTCTCAGATGGGCTTGCCGCAACATGAGGGGCCCGAAAAAACCGTTGGTTTCCAGTTGATGTCCCTTCAAAACCAACCGATCCAACATTCGCTGCGATTGAGCCCCGCGCCAGCAGTGCCAGCAGTATCCGCAAACACAAACACACAAACACACAAAC